CTCGAGTGAACCTCACTTCTTGCCCAAGTAACCCTAGAAACTCCAGGTGTATGCATTCAAAAAGTATTTGAACACTCAAATGAAACCCTAGCTATAAGTCAAGGAGAAGATATGCTTTTCATTGTAGTCTGCAAGTGGCAAAGGAACTTGTATCTTCATTTTTATTTAAGATTCATTATATACTGCTGATCTAAAAATATAAATGAATACATGCCATCAAAACCTTTGAGTAAATACATTTTAACTTTAATTTCCTAATAAATATGTATGTTTTAATATTTATGATGTATTTTTGGTATAACTTTTGTGGTAATAAAAGTATCAGTAAATGCTTCCTATTATAATATTTGGCCTGTTTAGAAAAGTTTTTTAATGTTCGGGTTATTTTGTGGGAGGGGGAGGGCTGTGGAATTTATCTAAACATAAATATTCAGTGAAAGCCATACTCCTGGACTATATGCAGTTGCACATTATAGTACTAAAACTATGAATGTACCATAGCATACCTACATTTATAAATATTGGATCCCCTTTTCTCTGAGACAAATCATGTTTCTTTTGCTGTTGGATGCAACCAGTCCCATTAAGCTTTTAGTCTAACCAACTTTGATCTTTCAGAAGCAACGCATCTTGGAGGTATAGATGGAAGAGTTTGTCATTTCTATGTCATCTTTCCTTCTTGCAAGGAGTTCAATAGAAAGGACTTTACAGTTTGAATATGAGAACTTTTGGCCCATTTGAATCCATTCAAATGGAACTTTTAACTTCCAGACATAAATATTGCTTAGTTACAGAAGATCATAATAATGTATAGATTTTTAAGCCCAAAAGGAACCATTGTGATAACCTAGTCTGACCTTCTGCATAACAAAGGCCATAAGATTTCTTTGAATTAATGTTTACTTCAAGTCCAATAGCTGTGGTTAATCTAGTGCATATCTTTTAGAAAAACATCCAATTTTGATTTCAAAATTTCTAGTGATGAAGAATCCATCACAGCCCTTGGTAAGACATCCCAATGGTTAGTTACTCTCACTATTAAAAAGTTGCACCTTATTTCTGGCCTGAATTTGTCTAGCTTCAACTTCCAACCATCTTGTTTATACTGTAGTCTGATACATTGAAGAACCCTCTATTATCAATTTGTGGCCCCCATATCAGTACTTCAAATAAACTTCTTAAGTTTCTCTTTGATTATCTAACTAGACTGAGCTCCTTGATACTCTCACCATAAGGCATGCTTTCCAATCCTTTAACCATCCCTGAGGTTCTTCTCTGAATCCTCTCCAGTTTTTTAACATCCTTCTAGAAGTATAAAATACAGCGTGAAAGGGTACTGAATACAGGGGTAATATAACTTCTCTTCTCTGACTCTATATTCCTGTTTATACATCTAAGGATAGCATTAGACCTTATAGCCACAGTGTAGAACTTGGCGCTCATGTTCAGCTGATTATCAACTATGTCACCTAAATCCTTTTCAGAGTCACTTCTCTGAGGCTAGAGTCCCCCATCCTGTAAATACTTCACAAAGGAGGCAGACCCCAGATCCCCAGGGACAGATGCCTTATTGCACAGTTGGTTGCAGGACCTACTTTATGCTTTTCCACCCTTACCATTACTGAGGAATTTGATCCAGAAAATAAGATGAGAACAAATGACAGTAATAGTGATAACTCCTCATTGGCCAAGGAGACCTTAGTTCTCAGACCTTATAGAGATGACATGGGAGCCCCCACTTCAGCTTCTGTGAACACCAGACATCATCTCACACGGTCCTCTTCTTCATCTGGACCCAAAATGGCTTCAACTCATAGCCTGACTATTGAGAGGGAAGTGCTGGAAGGTCTCTCTCTGTCCTCAAGAGTCATCCAGACATAGCTTTGGTCTAGAAAGATATTGATACTAAAAGCATACTCCTCTTTCTCTCTCTCTCTTTCTGATTCAGATTCAACAAATGGTGCCAAGGGCAAAATGCAAATACCAGAGATCCTGGAATTCCATCTACTTTGGATTTTCTCCAAGAAAGCATAGACAGAGGTTCCTTTCTGCAGGATCCTCAGACTCCCTGGGAGAGAATCCACAATTAGCCTGATTCCTTTGAGCAATTCAAGGGGGGGGGGATAGCTCAGTGGCTTGAGCATTGGACTG